AACGTCGGGGGGGAGTTCATAGGCGTCAGTTGGCGTTGAAAGGCGTCGAGGACGGGGATTGAAAGCGAGGGGGTGGGCGCAGAGAGACGCCGGGAAAAGTCCTTAAGGATCGGCGTTCACCACGCCGACGCGGTCGTATGGGAACCAGTGTATAGAACGCACCTGAGATGCGCGCTCGCCCGCGGCGGCGTCGTCCTCGCTCGGCTTGCGCAGCAGCGACGCCGCGGCGAGGAGCTTCCCGAGATCGCGCCGCAACGCCTTCGCGTCCGGCGCCTTGCGCAGGTGCGCGGCGAGCGCTCGCAAGGACGCGTCGCACGCGCACCGCGACGCGCCGCCGGCGCCAAAGGCGGGCGTCAACGCGCACGACGACGACGACGACGACGACCACCACGCCGCGGGCTGCGCGAGATCGCAGCACGCGACGCACGGCGGCGGCGCCAAGTCGCGCGACGCCGACGCGGCGTCCGAGAGCGCGAACATCCCGCCGGTCGCGCGCGCGCGCGCGGCGGCGGCGACCGCGGCGGCGGAGTATTCGCCGACGCCGCCGACGCCGCGGTCCCCGCCGCCGGCGGTCGCCGCCGCGGCGTCCGCGCGTTTATTCCCGCCGACGCCGGAGACGAGCCGCCACATCTCCATCGCGGGCGCGACGTCGTCCTCGCACCGCGGCCACGCGTCCGCGAGCGCCGCGACGCGCGACGCGACCGCGCTCGCGTACGCGCGGTCGTCGAACCCGGACGCGCACGACGACGACGACGACGACGACGAAGAAGAAGAAGAGAAGATCCCGCGCCGCCCGCGCGCGGCGTTCCGGCGGAGAAAATACGCGTTCGCGTCGACCCACGCGTCCGTCGCGTCGCACCCGCGCGACGGCGGCGGCGGCCACGGCGTCGTCCCGAGATGCGGCGGCATCGGGGAGTGCTCCAGCAGATCTTCCACGACCGCCCACGCCGCGCGCGTCCACGCCTCGACGGCGTCCGCGCCCTCCGCGGCGGCGGCGGCGTCGTGCCCCGCCTCGCGCCACACCGCCGCGGCGACGAAGAGGAGCTCCCATCCGCTCTCGTTCCCGCGCGCGGCGGCGGCGCGCGGCGACTCCAGCGCCGCGCGCTCGATCGCGTCGGCGTCCGCGTCGGTGAGCGCGCCGTCCGCGATCGCGCGCGCGGCGGCGGCCATCGCGTCGCGCTCGCGGCGCGCGTCCGACGCGCGCGCGTCGGCGACGGTGGACGCGAGCGCGCGCCAAAAGCCCCCGCGGGCGCGCCGCTCGAGCAGCGCCGCCGCTCTGCGCCAACGCGCGAGATCCCCGCGGGACATCGGGGTCTGTCTCATGACATCGGCGTCCGTCTCGTGCCCGCGCCCGGCGGCGGCGGCGAACGGCGGCGCGGGTGGAGGAGGACCGGGACCGGGACCGGGACCGGGACCGGGACCGGGCGGTCGTCCCGCGCTCGACCCGGCTCTGAAGGAGAGCGCGGCGACGCGCAGCGCCCGCGCGCCCTCCTCGTCCTCGTCCGCGAGTCCGCCCCGTCCGATGGACGACGCGTCGGTCGCGCCAAAGTCGGCGTCAAAGTCGGCACCAAAGTCGGCACCAAAGTCGGCACCCGTATCGGGCGCCGCGAGAAGCGTCAGCGACGGGGGGAACCGCCACGGCGCGCGCGGGACCCCCGCGTCGGCGCCCGTCGCGGACGCCTCCGTCGCCGCTGTCGCGGTCGCGGTCGCGGTCGCGGTCGTCGTCGCCGCCGCCGCGATCACGACGACGTCGCCGTCGCCGTCGCCGTCGCCGTCGTCCGCGTCCGCGTCGTGTCCGAGCCCGAGACCCCCCGGCGCGCCGCCCGTCGCGGGAGGGAGCATCGCGTGGATCCTCGGCTGGCGCGCGCGGCGGCGGCGGCGCGCGTTTTCCTTTTTCTGCGTCTCCCGCGCCGCGCGCGCCGCCCTCCGCGCGCGCTCGTCGTCCCTCTCGTCTTCCGGCGTCTCCGGCAAGATCTCGACGACGACTTCGGGTTCGTCCGGCGCCGCAAGCGGAAGCGATTCCGTGTCCACGTCGGCGTACGCGTACGCGTTCGCCGGAGAGGCGGGCGCGGGCGCGGGCCGCGGCTTCGCGACATCCTTCAGACGCCGCGGCGGTGCCCAGACTGGGCGGTGCCCAGACTGGTTCCCATACGAGCCCGTTCGCGTTGTGAACGCCGTTCCTTGAGGACTTTCGCCGCCGTCGCCCTCCTCCTCCTCCTCCTCCTCCTCGTCGTCGTCGCTGCTCAGGCTGAGCGCCCACGCGGGCTTCTTCCTCGCTAAAATCGCGGCGACGTCCACCCCCGCCTTCGCCGCGTCGCCGCGTCGCCGCCGGCCTTTCCCGTACCCGTCCCCTAGCAGCTCGGTCATCTTAAACCCTCGCGCGCCCGCGGTCCGCTCTTGGCTCCCGTCGCTGTGCTCTGAGATGTCGCGCCCCTCCCCGATCTCGTCGTCGATCTCGAACCCGGCCGCCCCGGGATCGGTCTCCGCGTCCTCGGCGTCGCCCGCGCGTCGCCCGCGCGCCTCCGCGGCGCGAGAGGCGAAATACGCGGCGTGTTTTTCTGCCGCCGCCGCGTCGCCGCCGCCGCCGCCGCCGTCGTCGTCGTCTTCGTCAGACGACGACGCCAACGCGCCGCGCGTCGTCGCGACTTTTCTGAACGCCTTCGTCTCCCCCGCCCTAGGCCCGTTCGCGCGCTCCATGGACGCGTCCGAGTGCACGGAGACGTCGTCGTCGTCGCCGACGACGGCGGTGTCGTCGTCGTCGTCGTCGTCGTCGTCGTCGTCGTCGTCGTCGTCGTCGTCGGATGGGCCGCCGTCGTCGACGAACCGCCGGAAATTCGCGACGCGGCGTCTCTTTTTCTTCCCGCCGTCCGCCGTCTCGCGCGCGGCCGCGGGCGCCTCGGACGCCGTCTCCGCCGCCGCCGCCGCCGCCGTTCTTTCGTTCCTCCGCCGACGCGGGTTCGACGCTCGGCGCGATCGCGCCTCGCGCGCGTCGAAGTCCTCCTCCGTGGGTATCGGCGCGGCGGCGAACCACGGCGCCGGCGGTGAGACTGCTTCCCCTACGACCTCGTTCGCGTGGTGAACGCCGTTCCTTAAGGACTTTCCCCGTCCCTTCTTCTTCGTCCGCCGCGTCTTCGCGTTCCTCTTCGTCGTCACCGCGATCTCTTCCGCGTCGCTCTCGCTCTCCGCGCCGTCGCCGTCGCTAACGCCCCGCGACGTCGACGTCGACGTCGACGTCGACGGCACCCCCTCCTCCTCGCGGATCACTTGGACGACCAGACGCTCCGCGGCGCGTTCGCGTCCTCCTACCTCGGCCCCATCCGCGGTCGCCGCCCCGTCCGCGGCCCCGGACCCGCGGCGGCGGCGGGCTATGATCCCGTCCATGATCCCCTCGTCGCGTTCGTCGTCCGTGGACTCCGCGACGGGGGAGTGGTCCTCGTCCTCCTCCTCCTCGTCGTCGTCGTCGGCGTCGGCGGCGTCGGGAGGTCGACGACGAGATCTCATCCGCCCTCTCGTCGATTCGAACGCGTCGTGGTCGAACCTCTCGACCGCGCGTCGCGCGCGCTTCGTCTCCCCCTCCGCGAGCGCGAGCGCGTCCCCGGCCGGGTGGTCGTCCACGCGCGCGTCCCACGCGAACGGCGCGAGCTTCTCCGCCTCCGTGCGCGCGCGCCGACGCTTCGGGAGGGACGGAGGAGGATCCTTCATCCTCCGAGCCGCGGCGTCGCGCGCGTCGTCGTCGTCGTCGTCGTCGTCGTCGCCGTCGTCGTCGCCGTCGTTCGCGCGCGGTCGCGGCGCCGCCGTCCCGCCGTCGTCGTTCGTCGGAATCGACAGCCGCCGCGCGTCGTTCGTGACGTCGCGCAGCGGCGACGACGACGGCGACGAC